TGACCTTAAATCGATGTAATTCTATCAACTTTAAATTCACTAAATTATGTTTTTCAGTGTAAATCAACCCACTGTATGTGAGTGGGATGTAACAGTTGTTTGTGTTCTATGCACAACATTTCACCTTCCACTAGCAATAATGACTGTTGTGAATATACTTACCCTTGTGAGCTTTGTGGGCCGTTGTTTTTATGTTTCTGGTATTTTGAACGACTATAGAATGATTGGTGTTTTTTACTAACGGTTGTTTGGTATCTCCTTTGTCTATGTCCTCCATTTAATTACTTGAATTTCTACCTTAGCTGCCTCTCTTACCAAATGCTTGCTTTCAACCTGTTGACTGTTGCGCGTTTCCATATGCATGGGCCGTCTGCATATTTCGGATAATTTAGAGACTTCTTTTCAGTTCAGCATGTAATCTACTTTTCAATATCCAGCTCAAATAATCTAGTAATCTCATCAGTGATGGTGACCAGTAGCCAGTTACTTCTCTATTCAGTTCAAATGCTTCACTGGACGTAAATATACGAACTATTTCCTATGTGTCACAAACATTTACCTACTGAATGATGTTAATGCAGCCGTGCGAATATGCTTACCGAGACATTAGACGGAAATGAAGTTCACCAAATATATCTTTTCGGTGAATTCGAAATCAAAAAAATGTATAATCGCATTTATGTACATGCGTTTGCACACATGAAATTATTATTTAACTGCACATAATTTAGTAGGAGAATAAGGGTGATAACAGTTATCAATCTCTTATGAAAGTTATGGAACAAAGAAATAAAATAACAGGATCACATCGTTGTTTATTTTAACCAAAACACGTTTGAACGTATGAACCTGGAGAAAAAATGAATTAATGCTTCTTATGACTCAAATGACAAGGTAATGATGAGATTGAAAAAAAACGGAAACTAATCTGGATCTATGGTAAGTGTAGAGGTTTGACTGGAATTTCTAGTCATGTAAAGGGTGCTTCTGCAGTTCAAATACGCTAACTTTGAAAGACGTTTGTATGCTTTTTAAATGGCTGTGAATATTGAATCGGTTAAGGTGCTGTGAAGGTGTTGACTAGGTTACTGTTGCAGATTCCTTCTCAGCACACGTGAACAAATCTCACAGAGTTGACGTGTATATTATCAGAAACGTTGGTTAGGGGGGAATTATTACAAATGAAGGAACGGAAACAGATTCTGATAGCGGAAATTTACCAAGTAAAATGGCAGAATCATACGTGCGCATTTTTTGCACGTATGTATGAGCATCATTTTGCATTTTACACGTTCTAGTAAGAAAACGCCTCCATCTACCTTTATTTCATCAGCATGTATGAAATCCATTCTTAACTCTGTCTGTGTATGTTTCTGATATGACATTATTTAGTCAACTGTCTAATGGTTTTCCTATATGCTAATAAGAGTGTAGTTTCACTTTGCCTTAATGTCTTAACAGATTCTTCACTCGTTTGCGTTATTTTCCAAAGTTCTTAATTGCTAAACTGAGCTGTCACCGATATCTTCATATTTTTGTCGTATCCTCTTCATCTGTTCAGCATTTCTTCATGTACTTATTCCTCATCAATAATAAGAACAGAGGAATCTCAGGAATTTGTTTAGAATAAGATACTGTCATCATTCATTCCGTCAGTTTCTCTTCAAATGCCTGCATACTAAAAGATTATTTATTATGTGCAGATCAGTGTTAACGTTTTTTTTTAATGTGATATGAACACTTCTCAATAATTAATGATTATAATTCATATGAAGAATTTTACAGTTTACAGACAAAAATAAACGTTTGGATAGAATGGAAGAGGAGCTAGGACAAGATGATGAGAAACTATTAGGTTATATAAGTCTCTGATGAGTTCAACTCATTTCAGAAAAAGAAAATACAGACGAAATTCTGTCTGGAAGGATAATATACAGTTGCTAATTAGGAGGAGTGTTTATGGCATCTGTATAACATCGCGAAATTTCACATCATATTGAATTCAGCGATAGAGGTGTTGTCTCGTGGAACAGTGAAGTGTTTGCACTTAAATCACACAGCTCACATAACATCAATGCATCAATGCGAGTCAGACACATTTTCATCGGCCTTATTATTGTGGTACTGGATTTTATTTAGGTTACTTTGTCTGACTTTCACGAATTACTCGTAATAAAATAAGTGAGAAAACTACTGTAACTGCTATTATTACGATGTGTTGCCAGTTGAACTTAGGGTTTCATTTAGTTCTGTGAAGTCCTGTTAAGCTGCCTCGACCAATAGCCTAGTGAGCGATGTCACCCAGCATTTTTCTCAAACTTCGAGCAACATGCCCGTGAATACTAATCTTGCTTTTTCGATTGTGTTTGTGGCATTAGCGTCTGTGCCCTCAGCTGTAGTTGAAACGCTGTTGCCCAGATAAGTGAAAGAAATAACTTTGTTTAAACTTCCCTCGTTGAAAGTGAATCATGCTTGTTGTTAACCGTTGGTTGCCTTCATTAACTTTATCTCCTCCACGTTCACTTCAGTTCTAATCTTTAATGCTTCTTCCGCTTCTTGTTTGGTCTTTGCCTGAGACTTTTGAGTTTGTGTGATACTAGGCATAAATTGTTCCATTAGTCCAGATCTTCTAGTGCCTTCTGTTTGATAGAACGTGATTCAGCCCTCTCGCTCCTCGTAGAGTTAGTTTCCCCGATCTAGACTATTTTGACGGAAAAATCAGACCAAACTCATCTTCTACTAATTGAAAGATGGTGAGGTGTGGTATGTCAATCTACTGTCCAGATGCATGATTAAGTGCCGCTTCCAGTATTGCTTTATGACGCTCATTTTATGTACGCTTCTTCTAAGCAACAGGATTCCCTCATATTTGGATAGCTCCTGCAGCAGTGCTGTGATCATCACATGACTTTTGGAAAACGATGAAGTTGAGTTAAAAATTTAACTACAACTCTAGGAAACGCGATGTGGTTTGAGCAGCGCACAGATTTTCCTCATGAACATCTACCAGTGAGCATACCCGTCGATTGTTCTAAGACAGTTGAATTCATATTTTTCTCGAAGTGAACAGCAGTGAAATACGCACCATTCCTTGCATAAGCTTAAGTTGGCCTTTCTTCCATTCTGCAAGCATACTTTTCCCCAAACATGTTTTCTTCTATACTGGTGGATGTTCTTGGGTCTACGCTGAGTGCTATTGGGCGTTCCTCTGTGGTCCTATTGTATTTCAGTCCTTCGGTAACTTTATAGCGACGGAGAACTCTGCTTTTGCTGGAATTTGGTGTTCACTGTTGGTTCTGTGTTTACTGGTGATATTCGTGTGTGGGATTTAGGTGATGGTCAGTTCACGAGTAATTCGAAGTGATGAACCCAGTGCTGGTTCTATCTCATCACATTGGCAGTCAGGTCTTCATTGGCTATATTTCTGTATGTTAACCTCGAATTATAGTACATCTTCAGGCCTTCTGAGGTCTTTCAGTTTCCTTTTTTCGGTCTATGATTTAGTTAGTCGTATGAGGCTTTGCCTTATCCTCTCCTTGATCTTATATCAAGAAGTGTGTGTTCCCATATATAAAGTACATCAGAGTATACTTGATATGGCTATTGTAAAATAATGTGTGCAGATGAGAAACAACCATTCACTGTCCAAGAGAAATTGCGCCTTGATTCCTACAGCACTTTTGAACCATGAAAAATAGTTCAATAAAATGAGTTACAACATATGGAGAGCCAATGCTCGTTTGAATACTTGAATAAAACAAATAATTATCTACCAATCACAAAAGAACAGAAAATATTCACAATTCTCAATATGTTAGACACAGTGTGAAAAGACGTTCAAAGTACACTGAAAATCGTTGTATCACACTCAGAAAAACTGTGCTGATATACACTAAACATACACTAAAATTTGTGAAGTTAAAGCACCAACGTTAGTGAATCAATAGGAAATCTGGTAAGCAAAAATATATTCATCGGTTTTATGACGCATAAGTTAAATTTCATTTCGAGGATAAAGGGGGGCACATTATTAGTACAAGCATCAAAAAAAACATTAGTACACTCACTTACAAGCTAATCTCAGCTGACTTTCAACTCCCCTTTTTGAAAATACAGAGATCTGAATCACGAACTGATCTACTTTATATCCGCCTATCTGATATTCTATATTACTATTCCAATTAATTTCTAATATAAATCAAACAACGGTAGGTGCACTCAGCATTATTTAGCGCATTATTGGTCCAGCTAAGTTCTACATTAACGGAAACCTTCCATGAAACAAATTCACATGGCATACATTCAGAAAGTATTTCAGTTAGTTAAAATGAATTTTCGATATATCTGTGCATTCCGCTTTAACAAAGCAGTCATGCTTTTCACGTCCTCGATAATCTGATGTTTGAAGTGTGATCACTAAAAGGTAAAATGGTTTCGATATATTTGCCAATAAATATTTCTGCTATGTTTATTTGGACGGGTGCAGGTTTGTCCATATATATATATATATATATGTATATATATATATATATATATCACTGAGGTTTATTCATTGCGGTCGGTTCACCCTGCAAAAGTCTCTCTTGTTTGATTTAATATTCTGTGTTGGTTGGAACATGCGCTGCACTGTGTACAGTCTTTGGAATCAGAAAGGCGTCATCTTCACAGATAAGTTTTAAAAAAATCATTTAAATGAGTACACGTTCCCACTACCTCTTAGCAACAGTTTTCAAACTTCATTGAATAAAATCCCAGGCAGATAATATCGTCTTAAAATTAATTGCGCCTGATAGTCTGTGAAATGTACTCTAGTTTCCATACCTTTGATTTCAGTCAAACGTACTGTAAGGTATATGTTGCACTGTGTGCTATCTATACAATATCATTAACGCTTATTTTCCAGAGTCGCATTCAAATATTTTAGATATTTCCGTTGAAAACTACTCTCAGTGTTTAATTACTGGACAACGTGGAAAGTAAATATGAACAAAAAATTGAAGGTTTGTTGACACATCTGCACCGATTTATTCACAGTATGCAAATCTTCGACTTACTGCTGCACAAACGTGTCTCCGAAAGGTTGGCATATTCACGTAATTATAACCCAAAATATATTCAAAAATAGTACATCATTTTCTCCTGTTTAATGGTTTTGGTGACAATAATCACGACATCATGTGGAGCGACCATGTAAGTCTGTATTGCAGTGATATTTCTGTATATCGCTCTTGTAGACCACACCTTGAACGTTTATACAAATTTTTCTACGTACCACTTGTGTTTTCGTGAGTTATTTGGCTTGAAATTATGACATACATTTCATTTCATATAACTTATCAGGATGCAAATATTTTGATGGATTAAAGTGGTGTTATTTTAAATAATTCTAACTACTAAGGGACACAGAATTCGCATATTTTTGGATTTTTGTAACGTGAAACATCAATGCTTTTCACATCGGATCCCTGAGGAAACAGTATCCTCTACATGTGAGATGAGTTTGGACTAATATTTGTCCAAATTATTTTTTTGTATTTCCTATTGATTGAAATAATGGGACTGAAATGTCAGGTCAGTGGAAACATGACAGCTAACTGGAGGATGCTTTGACGATGTTTGGGAATAAACAACTTTTTCGTTTTACGGAGGATTCACAACAATTGATAAATAATAAAATTTTCCGGCCAGAAATACAATATTATTTTAAACTAGTATCTAGTTACACCAGCTTATTTATCAGTTGAATGGTTCATCAGAGTGGGTTTCTTCATGATTTTTTAACTCTCGAAACTAGAATTAGTTGATACCGACTTTGCTTTGATTGGGATGATATCATAATGATGCCTAAACGCTTAATGTCACCAACAGCCCGTAGTTCATGATGAAAAGATAACTACTTCCGTTATTTTGGTTTTTCAGCGTACTTGGTGCGATCCCCGTATCACTGTTGTTCATTATTGTGAAACTGAAAGAGTCATTTCCGCTTAATGAAGTATTGATCTCATTGTCCGTGAGTTTTCCTTCCTTCAAGCTTATGTATGCATGTCTCTTATGAAACACTGATAATCACACAAAAGTATAGATATAATTCAATGCCTGGTTTCCATATTAATAACCAATAATGAGGACTGATTCGCCATAGAGCAAATGAAGTATAATTTTATTTCAATGGTTAACACGGAATCATAAGTTTTGTTATTGGTGACATTTCAGGCAAGATTGCTCCCCGTTTTTACACCAATGTTGTGCGTCTTTGGCACAGTGGTTAGGGCTCTTGTCAACCAGGCACATGGTCCGAGGTTCGATCCCCTGACGACGCACACCCGATACCTACGGCCGCCTGAAAAATTTAGGCTGCCGATATCCATGCTGCAAAATTCCATATATGTACCAAAAATACAGTGTGGAATCAAGCTGCATATTCAGAATTATATTCCACGTTGTTGACAGTTATGCTGAGTCACCCTTGTTACATCTATTCGGGATTCTGTTATAAGTCTCTCTTTCCATTTGTTCCTATTAGTTTCTAGTATACAATCATAGTTCCAATCGATATTATGGTTTTTGTCCCATGCATGTGCAGTAATAGATGAATTTCTTCCTTATTCTTGTAAGCTTGTGTTCCTTTTGATTGACTTTTGGTTAGGTGTTTGTGTTCGTTTAGTCTTATATTGAGTTATCTGGACGTTTGACCCACATAATTAGTTGGACACTCGGCACAAGATATTTTGTAAATCACATCGTTTTATCCATCATTTACATGGGATCTTTCAGTTGACTGATTTTATTTGTAATTAGATTCATCATTATCACCGTGTGTAAATCACTGAAATATAATTACACTTTACTTGATCTATTCTACAATGCTCAAACATTTTACCGACATTAATACCATAGAGCAGTTAAATATTAATTAGACTCGAGTGGAATTAGAATCTGCCTAATTATTTCGTCTTAGTTCTTTTATTGAATACATATTTTAATGACTAATATGTTGACAAGAAACGATTTGCATGTAATATTGGAAATCAGTTTGTCAGTATACTTTCTACTACTGCACTCCCGCAGGTTTTATTTACAACACCTGTGACCAGTCAAGAAATACTAACCGGATTGAGATTTATTGCAGTTAAGTGTGTTTGATAAACAACTCGGTGAATGCAGTTAACCAGTGGATGAATCCTCGAAAGCTGCAGGCCACAGAGACATCATGCTGCACTATGTGCTTGTTCAGTACGCTTGGTAAACAAAATTCAGAATATGAGAATGCAGAGAGAATAGGAAAGTTGTCTCAAATAAACTGATGATTTCATTTGAAAGGCTGAGATTTAACATGTAATCCCCAAGGGATTTTCTGGCGATGCACATTGAAAACCATGGCAGAATACCAAACTCTCTGTAAGACAGTTATTTCCGAAGGTAAAATGTTTTCGTTGAAATAAGTGTAACACCAACTGCCCTGTTTGATTTGAGTCAGTGCTTCGTTAAAAACTAAGGAGACAACTATGATGACAGTGTCAATTTGTTATTTAAAAAGCCTTGAATTCGATGCAGCAGTCCCTCAAGAAAATGCGTGTACCGTAGATTTTGTAATAAAGTCCTTCATATTACCAGATTGACCTACTGGTTTCGAAACGCACATTGCTAATGGTCTGAAAGAAGACAATACACGCCGTCATACTTGTATCCAAATACTAGCACTTTGTTCAAATTTTATGTGTTAATCGTAATGTTAATTTGTCCACAAAAATATCCACAACTTCTTGTGACTAAATGTGATCATTACGTCCTGTAGGTCTTATTGTGGTCTTTCGCAATACCCGCGATCTCCAAATCCATGAAATATTTAATTTTTGCACCATGGAGTATAGCAATCACTCTAGCTGTGGTGACGCTGATCATTGGATATAAAACAGTTAAACGGAGTACAAAAGTGAGCATCATACTATTGAGCATCGCTGGTGGAATCACAATGTTGGGTCTCATTTTGTTAATTGCTTTAAGAATCAAGTTTGAAGTAAGTAGTACTTTGTGCTTTGCAGCAGTAAGTTATCCTGTGATTGTCTCATTTGGTTGAATTGATTTCGATAATTCAAAGTTTTTTGAGTAGCTGGTATTATATTATATCGTGCAGAATATTCGAAAATATAGTGATAATTTGAGACACATTGAAATACAGAGGTAAAATGACCATCAGTAAGAACACACATAAGAATCACAAGAAATATCAGCCAAAAGATGAAACTGCTTTTTACACAAAGTATCCATGACGCGACTATTCCACCTTCAATTCAGGCTTCCCATATTGGTTCACAATTTGTTCATTTCACGCCACATAACGTTTTCACGTAAATAAACTGCGCAAATGAAAAAACTCACGAATTCGACTCCATCAACTGCGTTGAAGTAATTTAAATCCTGAATGATGGGTGTTAAGTTGACGTGACTGTCTATCTAGCATATCGCAATGACCCAGCAACCTTCGCCGTTTAGGTATAATACTACTGCAGGTCTTACAATTTATCCTTGTGGTGATGCTGAGATTTGCATGATTTATATAGTATATGCGTCTGTGGGTTGAATAATCAGACTCAGACTAAGTGGTACTCGGAAGAAAGTAACATGAGATGACGAAGACAATATATTGAGAAGAAGGTGTATTGATCATATACTAACCCTTCGACAGACTTTCGAACATAGGCGCCTAAAAGGTATCAGATTTCTCGACTCGAACGAGGCCTTTAGTCGAGATTTGGAGTGTTTGACCATGAACACGTTCTCAAGAATATATATCTTAATAATCGTTGCACTGAACGCGAACTTTACACCGCTATAATAAAGTTCACACGGAGTTGTCATCCATAGTGATGACAAATATCACTGTTACAGATTTCACTCATATGCACTTTTTGTGGCCATATATGTGCTAATGGAATTGACACTAATTGGCTTAAGGTGCTTTAAGATCAACTTGTATTCAAAGAAAACATCCTTGTTGTCTTAGATTGCTCAGATAGTGCTGTCACTGTAGGTAAAGACGCTGAAACATTACTGAGTTTATCGAACGCCCTGAGCAAAAATCTTCGAATGTTTGGCATGTCATTTATCCATATGAAATTTGGGAAGACACTTTATGATTAGAATGGAACGACTTTTGGCCAAAATCATATGGGATGAATTGTTAAAGGTGGCGACTCCATTAATGAGGGAAGTCGCACCACCCACAATTGACTGATTGCTGGTGAAATCTCAGGACGTATACATGAGGCACATGTGATATCTGCCAGCTTATGTTGTCTCTGGTATAGAACTTATAATCCGCTATCAATCATAAGACATTTGTGCTGTGAATCCATTCTCCCTATCCGCCTTCATGTATGTGAGACATGAGAACTGAAAGTGTAAAATACTAAAATGTTGTCACTGTTTGGTCAGATATTTTCGTCCTCTCTCCTGTGTAAGGCGGTACAGAATGCTAAGTAATTCTGAGGTTTCATCATATAAGGGGTGAACATCTGAGATCCTACGTAGGATTCTCAATAAAGCAGGAATTAGGGTGGCATTCAAACCTCAGGGACAAGCTCTGTAGGTTAAAGGACCCTGTCAGTTGAGTTAATTAGACAAAATAATATACTTTACCAAATACCCTGCAATGAATTTGCGGTCAACTACATAGGTTGAACTAGTAGCTCGGGAGTAATTAGGTTGCCGGAACATTAGGATTTAGCTCGGGTTAGAATGATTGATTTCTCAAAGATAAAAAATTCAGAAAGAAACTCAGCAAACTCACTGCATACATCAACACACAACCGCACAATAGACTGTGGGAGAGTACAAATTCCAAGAGGTAATAAAGGTAGGTGGAGAGATCGATTGATTACTGAATCCTGATTCATCGAGTCTACACCCAACACAGGTTATAGAAGTGACTCAACGCAATTAACAGAGATATGGAAGATATTATTACGAGTCAAATCAAAGCGTAATAAATGAGGTTGAATTTTATTCAATCCACATTATAACATTCAAATAAGTTACTTATTTTTATTATAGAAACCTTTTTTCCCCTCTGATTGTGTTTATTGAAAAGACTTATATTACTTCCGAATGTACTTTGTTCAAATGTCTAATCACCAGTTCTTACTCATGTATATAAATTAATCAAGGAGGTTGTATGACTGCCTTGATATGATTATGAACAATGAAGTGTGCTTGAAACTTTTTAAGTAAATATTACTGTATAACACTGTGATTTTATCAAAACAAAATTTTGGCCATAATTGATGTTAGGCATCCATTCTCAAACAGGGAGGTAGGTGAATCGATGAGGATGTGAAGATGGTTGGATTGAGGTGTCTAGTACACTCGTTGCAAATGGACAGCTAACACTTTCATAGACAATAAATGTTGTCCAACATGGGATTTGTCTGGAAAGAAGTTCGAGGTTGTCAGATCGAAATCTCTTGTTACTTCTTGATAACTCTGATAACAAGCAAATGGCTTTCTTTAAGGAACGAATAATCCTCATTTTGTGTAATTAGAAACACATGAATCAGCAAGAAATCTCTCCTCTTACCTACACTCTATTCTGTTTTGGTGGATTTTCCTTTTTTGGTGTAGATTGACAGTGGAGATCAAAGTTCGAAGTCATTTTAAAGAAAAGTCAATAGGGATGTGTGCAATAATGTCTGTAGAAACTGAGAACGCTTAACCTATTTTGAATGGTTGACAACTTATGGGTTATGTGACGAAGGATCATTTGGATATCCTCGATAAGGAACAGAAGAAAAAACTGGAAATGGGTCGTGAACCACAGACATGATAAAACTGAGCAACCGAGATGCTGTGTGTCTAATCCTTAAAAACGACTGAAATATAAATATTGGCCTTGAATACTCGTCAAACTGCTAACTAGTTATCTGTAGACAGTATGGTTTGACTGGTGTTAACGGTTTTCAGAGGCTACAGAGAATAGTCTGTGTCAAGGAAGACAAAATATCGCATTTATTATGGAGTCGTGAAGTGGATAACGTGCAACTATATTACCGAGAAACATTCATAAATCTAGAAGTATTCGTATTATATGAATAACAAATGACTATTTTATTATCTTTTCAAAGTAGAAACATCTCGACTTCTATCTGTTCCTTGCAGCTACTTGCAGTTATCCTGTCTGGCATATTCTTGGCTTTCGCTGTACTCATAGTAAGTCACATGGTGAATTTTGGGAATATTCATGAGGCTGAATATATAACATGTATTGTATGCCATCAGGAATTATAAGTTTTCGTTGCACAAATATATCCTCACTACACGTCTTCATATTCACTTCTCCATAGTGCTGTGTGTATATGTGGGTGTTTCTCGTTTATTTCTCTTGCCATTATTAAAATTCGGAGTTGAACGTTAACTGATTATATCTTCTTTCATTAATTCCAAACCTCGGGTTTTTTTACTCTATTTTAGTGACGTCTTTAAATAGGCATCTCGATCCATAAGTGTGATGTATAACCAACTTAACTCATTTATTTATTAACAAGTTGCTACATCAGTCTTTTATTCCAGAATGATTTCATTTCTCAAGTGCACAATAAATTTCGGATCTTCCTTAAGTTCATGAAATTCGTGTGAGTTCACAGATTAGTCTCTGGGCAGCAAGATGAAACATCTAATCAATATATTTGGAGAACTCAGTCACATTGATTTTTACACTTGAAAGTCAATGGTAATTCATGACTGAAGCGATTATTCATTTAATTCCCCTTTTTATGGTTTGCTTCTCTGTAATAGGTGTTATATCTTACCGGACAAGGTATAAAGCGTTGCTACAATGCTACAACCAAGAATCTCCTGCCAGTTTGGTTGGCCCTGATTACTTGGGTAGCAACTGTTTATTTATTCATATCCATAGCTGTGATGTTTATAGAAGGCAGAATGCTGAGGCTTACATATATGAACAACAATTATATCCTGATTTGAAACAGCAGTGTGCATGAATCATTTTACTGTTTGTATTTCTTGTTAGTTTTATTGTAACAATCAATTATATTCGAAATACATTTTGAAGTCATATATTTGGTTTCTGTTAGCTATTGATGAAGAACTTTGAATTATCTTTCGGATAATAAAACACTGCCTTCTACTACTACATACTATAGTGGGAATAAAATTTATCCTAAGATGAGGAAATTTACAAAATATTCAAAATGTGATTTTTTTGTTTACTTAGTGTTAAATACCAGGTATAAATAAAGACTTAGGTAGTTCACATGTATGACATCGTTCTCATTGTTTCTGCGGCTTGACTGGCTCTAACAGTTTGAAAGATTTTGATGACATTATATTCTTCCATGCTTACTTTAGCCTCCATCGAGTGAAGCTATATAGGTCAACAGGCTTCAGAAAAGCTTCTAGTCGCCACAGTCGTTCCTTCCAAAACTAATCAGTCTTCACAAATTCACTAAAGCATTAGTTAATTTTTCCATATTCTGGAAGTTTCCGTTGCGAAAGATTAGTAGGGCAACTCGTTTGATTGCTTCTTCTAACTCGAGCTCAGAATTCTAAGTGATATCGTTTGAGTTTCAGAAATTAATAATTACCGTGTTTCCTCTGCTGGTATATTTGAATGCACTGCAAATGGTCAATGTTTTTAATTATTCACAGTGACTAATAAATATTCAAAAGTCCTTGTTGTCACTTCAAGCATACGTAATAATGAAGTAGTCTCTTGTGAGACACCCACTCTGGAAAATATTTCAGCAAACAGCTATTTGCAGGATCTTGTAGAACAGTGGTTGTACTATCAGTGTACTAAACTTTACAAGCATTACTAAACCTAGTATTCCCAGTTACTCACTTTTATGAATAGTAATTATTGAGGGAAAACCACAAATCAAAAATGCGCATCTATTTAGAAATGTCAGCAATATATTTGGATATAATAGGATATTAAGGTTATTTAAGGAAAATACTTTAGAAGCTGTCTGGTTGGAATGGCTGGACTATGAACTGCAAGAATATGCGTGTTTCCATCACAAAAAAGGAGAACAACATGGCATCCATGTCAGGTTGGATGCATATGAGTTATAGCCACAACTTAAGACAATTTGATTATCTTCTAGTGGTTTGGATATTTATCTAGTCCATATTGATATGATTCCGTTTGATCTATTTTTGTAGCCCCAGGGTAAGAGTTGCAATTAAAACGTCACCTGAAGACTGAACAGTTATAAATCGATGAACAAGAATGTACATTATCAACTAAAGTCAACATTCTTTTACCCCATTTATTCTTACCAATTGTTCAAGACTGCTTTTTAGAATGAGATACTTAAGGATAAAATGGTACATTAAGTTTTTCATTTAGATCCCATCAGTTATTACTCTAACATGCACAGCTTTATATGTCAATGATAAATGTAAGTCAGCTGAGTGTTGAATGAAGTTATCTTGAGAGTTTGGGTTAGGAACATTCAGGATACGTTTCTTGTGAGTCAACAAATTGTGATGACAGGGGAACAAAATACACATAAATGTATATGTATATATATATATGTATTTATGGTGGATATATTTTGTCAGATTTCTATTAGTTAGGCTGTACATACACTTCTTATCAGAAAGGTTTTTCGCTCATCTAATCGTTCCCCAAAATCAGCAATATGAAGACTGAAAGCAAATCAGCTGATGTACGATTTTTCGACAACAGCACTTAATTATGAAAAGAGCCTGCCAGGCAAAAGTGAGGGAACAGACATCTCTTTCTTTGAATTATTATATTTGTTGAATCTAAGAAAGAAAAGAATTAAAGGAGACTGAGAATTATTGATTTGTTATTCAAGAGAAAAACTCAATGATATTCAAATGGACTGTGATCAAGATTTCACCAAATAGTTTCAAAATAATTGAGCACCAAGTGAAAAGTAAATATTTCTCAACGAAATTGAAATGACTAATTCTAACGCTTCGTTCGACAATCTGGTTCGAACTTTTTCAAGGAAATTAAATGAAATGAACGCAACAGATATATATATATATATATATATATATATATATATAAGGACAACTCGTGTTTCAAAACTTTGTCCAATCGTATGCGTCATGAAACATGTATAATAAGCAAAATTGTATGAACTGTAATCATAATCTGAACTCAGATATGTCGATGAAACCTTGGTCATAATCAGACGCAGTTTATTGAATGAACTTTTGTATTCAATAAGCGATACGTCAGAAACCATCAAGTTTTCTAAAGAGGTTGAATTTGACGAGAACGATTTGGTTTTCGTGGATTGTTTAGTAAAACGAAAACTGCATGGTAGATTTAAAATTAAACATTTTCAGAAAGCCGAAAAATTAGGACACATACCTAGACTATTATTTGACACACCCCTTTACCACCACCCCAAGAATCTGATTAACAGTGCCAATGTCTAGTAACTGAGGGGGAAGTGATTAGCGAGGAACTTATATTGCTTCATTCCACTCTTGAATCAAATAAGTTTGTAAAGCCTTCATAACAAGATATTTAAGATATGAAGATAAGGATGGATTGAAACCTGTTGCTAAGATTTGGATGATTATAACGGTGATTCCTTACCGCAAAGAAACATCCGATGAAATGAAGCGAATCCTCAACAATCGTAACATAAGACTGTGTTTTCGTGCATAGAGGTTATTCTCTCCTTCTTTGTTTGCATTTTATTGATAAACCTACTCACACAAATACATTCCATTTTAATATGAGAAAAGGATACATTTGACGAAATAATAGATAACGGACAGTATTATCCACAACAATTAACTGATTCGTTTTCTCTATCTGTGTTAAACAATCACGGTTCGCCAAATTCACTTCAAATTATTACTCGTTTCACATTTCCAATTTTTAGAAACAGGTTAATGAACATATACTCTACCTGTGATTTACAGTAAATTAGTAATTCCGCATTAATTCATCAATCCTTATTCGTTTGATACAGACAGCTGTAAGAGATAATTTTTACTCATATAGAAGTGAAAATGTCTATCACAAACTGACCTTTTCATGGGATTCTTTTTGTGTTGTCGTTTTGTGAATAGGCGTATGTGAAATTATAGCGTTCGCAGAAATTTCTCTGGAAAATGTGCATGGAACCTGAGGAAAATATATTATATTACTTCTTATAACAGTAAATACATTATGAAATTGTTCGTCTCTGGGTTTCTTTATTCCTTGCAATAAGAACTGCTTGCCTAATGTACCATGAGCATTGACAGCAAGTAATATAATTTTCCTTTGAGGTCGAATGTTCTATATCAGTAGGTGTAAGTATATGCAGATCTATCGCATCCCCCAAGGCTGTCCGCCTTGTTTTACCGACAAAGCAATTTAGGTGCATTAGTCAGGCATTAGGCAATGTCAGCTAGGATACTTCAAATTCTATCCAACTGGTATGAAATACGAATTCTCTGATGCTTATTTGCATCATATATCTTAGATAAAATCGATGTGAACAGCTTTATTGGCTGCCTTTCATAGTAAAATGTCATGATGAAACTGGTGTTCAAATTAGGCTCCTGCAATCTGGTTGAGTGTGTCATCGTATAACTCTGACAGACTAATTCAATCACCTATTTATTTTAATCCTCTCACGTTTAATTTTAGGAATCTGAGGGTAAAATTCAAACTTGTAGACGAAAACAACGTTATTTATGTTACGAGTTTACTGAGGTTTAGACTGCCTTAAAAAGTTGTTTAGAAGCATTGAACGTTGAAAAATGTTGTTACATTTGAGGCACTGTAAAACTGATCATTTCTCACTCACTACTCATTAAAAATATTCTGAAGCGTGCCATACATCAAACCTTTTCAGCTATCATCTTAACGCCTTCATTAGAAATAATTCTCAAATTATTTATAACAAATATATTTATTATTGTGTGCCGTTTTTAATAATGGATTAGAAGGACATAGTTCAATGCTAATTACATTTAAGTAGCCAAATATTCTAAGTATTTTCATGCGATGAACATTATAATGTTATGTATTATTTTATTTTAATTCATTACTCTCAAATTATTTATGAATCTAATGAGGCTACACACTCTAAACGGTTTTGAACTTTGTACTCTGAAAAGGATCAAAGCCTTTTCTCAATAAATGTTAGTTGTTGAAATAATAACTTCATATTCTAAGTATGAATTATTCAAATATTTCCTTAACAAAGGGGAGAAGCAAAGTCTGAGTGTTAAAAAAATAAGAACTTATTAAATACGTGTGAGATGAATGACAGTGGATTTTGTGATAGCGATGGATTTAATATCAAACAAGAGTCATTCAATGGATAGCAGCATTCAGTATAAAATTTATTACAAAAGCAGTGATCGTAGTACAACGAAATACAACAAAATAACCCTACCATAAGATACCACGAAGATTGAAGAGAAAAAGCATGTATCATATACCTTCTTGTCCACTAATGCTCAGAGGTCTCAAGTACCTGTGATCTAACATCACTGAACAAATAAAATCATATCTGAGCGCTTAAATACCCCTCGAAGTGGAACGTATTACACTTAATTCTATTGTGTAGCACATCTGCAACCTATCGAAAAACGTATAGGGAAGCAACGAATAATTCACTGAGAACAACTTCAAAATAAATAAAGAGAAATTCGACTGTTGTTAATCGAAATTCAGATAACCAGCAGAGCACCACAAAATTTTTAGATATTATGGAGAAGATTTGTAGGCACAGGCGAATGATTTTGATGTGGTTGTATTTTCTGAGCTGGATGGTAAATTAGCGAGGCTTTCATTGCACGAAGGTCACCAAGAAAGACGAGAAATAAACTCGTGGAGAAATATAAATACTCACTTCAGAATGAAGTATGCGCTTAAGATGTTGCCTAGCAGGGTGATGAAAGCCTCGCTAGTTTACTATTCAACTCAGAAAACACAACTACATCAAAATCATTCACCTGTGCCTACAAACCTC